CAATATTCATCTGAAGGAAGCTCACCAGGGAACTAACAACACTCGGAATACCTATTTGAAAGTAAAAAATGCTGTGTTGAACAGGTGCTGGAGGTGGTGCAGCAGTGCTGGGCACAGGACCCGGCCCAGCGCCCGACCATGAAGGAGGTCACCGAGCGCCTCCAGGAGATCGTGGCCGGCGTTGACGCGCGCATCAAGCAGGAGAAGGCCCGGCGCAAGTCCTCCGCGGTCCCCCTGGGCCGGCCAGTCTAGGCGCCAGCTCTTGGCCCAACCTGAGCACCTGGAACGCCCTCTTAGACCGCCAGCACCTAGGCGCGGGCGCTAGCATTAGGCAGGCCAGCGGGTGAATAGGCATGGGCATTTTATGTGCCTGCGCCTGAATAAATGTGATGAGCCTCCCGCACAGACGACGGCATCTATGAAAGCCGGCAATGGGCAGTCTTCCTCGGGGGCCAAGTTATGGCGTCAATGGTGGCAACTAGACCCTCAATCATCGGCCAGTCTGCTTTCGGACTGGGGCGCAACAACGGGGCCCCTATAACACTAAAAAATTTGTTGTACAACAAGAAATAGCCACAATGTTGATGTATTCGTTAGGTGAGGTGTGTGAGACAGCAGGTCAGAGTGTGGTTGCGTTCAGGTGTAGGATGTAGAGATATTTCAATGGAAGTGCCCAAGAGTGGAGCTCTTTTCCGCGATCTGTTATGTGAATCACAGTGCTAATCTCTGAGCAGCAGTAGCAGCAGACTCCCACATGCGCTATGGGCCTCCTCATGTTGCTGCTGAGGCAGAGTGTCAGCGACATGCAAAACTGTTTCAAGGTGTTTCTGGGGTTCCGTCATGAGTGCATCTCATCGGGCGGCAGAAGAGTTTTGCTTGCAAGCTGCACGCGAAGCAGATGCCCATTAGAGCTCCTCGGTGCATGCAGCGCTTTTGGGAGATGTACAGGTATGTGCAAGTGATTGCCAGCAGCACGCATGGCGTGAGACAGACTATGGCACATTCTGTCAGTACAGTCGTTTGAGAACTGGTCGACACAAGCGATCAAGACATGAGAATGAACGTCTTGCGAGCGCCGCTGTGACCTGTCAACGATGAAGCAGTTTTTTTGGCTGCTCTTGTGTCTGGAAGCTCTCGGGGAAGCATGGGAGAGATGTAGTCTGTGACTGACTGGGAGAAGAGGCATTCGAGAGGCTTCAGGCAAGATGTGACATTCCTGTGCATCGCTCGCGCTTGAAGATTTTGTCCCAAATTTGCAATGTCATTGTGTTGCTCTGCTTGCTGGATAGCGCGGGAAGTTCACTGTTGAGAGGCGTGTCCAAAGCCAATGCTCTTTTATAGGCCAAAGCGGCTTTTCTGGTGGTGTACATTCCAACAGGCCTTGGAAAATTTGTGTAGCATAGGAAAGGCCGGCTTTTCGTGGCAGTTTCCAGCAGAAGCTTGGTTTTAAATGCCATATTGCCCCCTGTGGATCTTGAGGAGGAACTGAGAATGATGCAGGGTTTATAATTATAGGTGGTGAGGCATGCATAAGGGTATGTCACCCCTTCATGATGAGGCTATTTGCCTCATATAGCTTCCCAAGACAAAGCAGTGCAGTCCATCTATTGACAGGAGACTGACTGCTTAATTCTACTCTCGCTGCTGGTGGTGGTAGCTGTGTAAGATGGGATCAAAAGCAGCCAACATTTGTATGTTGAGGTGTCCCCTGTGGGGATGGCAGCTGTTTCTAGTGGCTATTATGGGCTCAGCTTCTCTTGTGCCAGGTTCTGTGGTCAAGTGTTGGGCTCAGAAAGCGCAAGCAGCATGTCGTGCATTCGTGGCTGTGTCAAACCGGCCATGGATGGTGCCTGAACAGAACGTGTCCGCGGTTGCAATTGACTGATGGCGCAATTGTCACTTTGTAAGATGGAGACATCCATGTCAACTCTGCATAAGGCTGCAACTGATGCCCTGCACGACTACACAGCTGGCCCTGATTCTACCGGAAACCATGCAGTACTGGTGTGATCTGGTTAACAGGGAACAACTCATGCACTTTTCTGCAAAAGTGAGGCACCTCAACATCTGCAATCTGGACAGCAATTAACTCGTTTGCCCATGGCTAGCACATCATCAATCATGTCCAGTGTCGTCCATGCCACTTGATGACTGGTAAGTCAATCCGCAAAATCAAATTCTTGAGGAGGAGGGCAGCGCGATGGCAAAGACTCGCACAGCTGCTCCATCACTCGCAGGCTAGCTTGTTATCAAAGGACGACAGAGCGATGCCGAAGGCTTGCACGGCCGACAATGGCCAGCGGTAGTCGAGTGTGAACATGTCCTTGCCCACCTGCGCGCACATGCCAGGCCATTGACTGAATGCATCAATAATCAGATAGAGGAGCATCACTGCAAGGGGGCTCCTCTTAGATAACCACAAAAATGTCCGGGCCATTGTGAGGGCACAAATACACCGCAGAAAATTGGCAGCACACCCTTCAACTGCCTCGTCTGCTGCACAGCACTTTCCCAAGAATGCCCAACCACGCCAGCATAAACCTGTGCATGTGCTCTTCACGACCCTCTTGATAATCAAGATCTTAGAACACCATGGGGTACCTAGCATCAGGGCACACCTTGCCGAATTGCAGCAGCACTGTCTCGAGGTCATCAGCGGCTGCCAGCTGGAAGTTTTTGACCGAGGCCTGCGTCACACGCCCCTTGAAGTTGAGGCAGTATGCGTTGAGTGCCTCATTCCATCGCGGCGCCTTGTTCTGCAGCACCACGACCCCAGAGCTCCCCTTCTTCTGCCTGCCACCAAGCAATGGGTCACTTTCTTGTCAGAAACAGAGTTTTAGCAGTGTGAGTGCATTTAGATTTATGGCCCTAGGTTTTCTTACGAAGCACGCCCTTTTCATACAATATGTAACACAAGCAAGGCAGCAGGAAGCAAGACGTCCTTAGCAATTGCATTTTTACGACATACTTCAGCGTGCTGGTTCATATGTGTCCATCATATGTAGGCTACATCAGTCTTTGCAGTACATAACAAGCCCAAGATGAGATTTTGCAAGTGGATGGCGGCTTATTTGCAATCATATTCCAGTCAGCCAGTCAAACTTATTTGCACACGCACATTTTGCATGTGACACATGCGCGTCACGTCCTGGGTGTACCTAAGATCAAGAGAGACAGGACAATCAAGGGTGTGCGAGCGAGAGTGTACCTGTCAAGGAGGCTCTTGCTGCTGGCTGGTGCAGTTTTGAGGGCCTGGTTGCTGAGCGCGGCACGCCCATTTTCAGAAACTACCTCGGGAATCACAGCCGTCATTCTGCGCGGCCCCTTTGTCCCGAGGATGTTTGTCTCGTAGCGCACGGCCGCCACCTCACACTGGTCACCTGCGTGCACATGGGGACACCTGCAGTTATAATTCTGCGGGTGATTGTGGTTATCTAATCAGCCCTAGACAGCTGGAACGATATGTGTTTTTGCTCATCTTTTGCTTTCGTGCATCCTGGCCAGACCCATAAAAGGTGACGATCTGGAGAACAGGAAGGCGCTCATTAAAATCAGTGCATGCGCCGGCATGTTGAATAGATGCAATGTGCTCTCGTAAGTATTGGTCCTCCGATGTGGGCTGCAGAGATGCCAGAGGCATTGGCAGAGACCCTAAACCCTAAATAATATATAAAAATATTAAACCCTAAAAAATTAAAAAATAAAAAAAATATAAAAAAGTATAAAAAATATAAAAATAAAAAAAATAAAAATTATAAGCAGTGACAAAGACAAGATGCTAGAAGACAACACAGATGTCCTGTGACGTCAATGTTTCCCTTTATGTTTTCTTTCACTCACTGCATTGAGCGCAGTTGCCATCGCACTTACTTCTTAATGCTCATCTCGAAAAAGGGAGAATCATTTTGGATTTTTGGAGGCTACCTTTGCTGCCAACTGCTGCACGCATGCCGGCATCAAAGACCGAGAACTCGGTGCCCACGAAGTTTGAGCGGACCTTGCCGCACATGTTGCTGCTGCCCCTCAACAGGTCCTGTGCGCACAGTAACAGTCGCTTCATGCCTGAAAGATCATGAATGATTGCATCTGCAGCCCCTGCATGCATAGCCACTTTTGCAGCAGGTGCTCTTGGGATGTCACACCAGAGGTCGGAGACATACTTGTCGCTGCATGCATAATTAGCCAGCACAGAAGGGTGAGGCAGGCACTGCCCAGTAAGAGGAAGCAGCCACGGAGCACATAGCAGGCATATCAGGGAGATCTCCCGTCTTGGGGTAGAGGAAAATAAGCTATTTGGGGTTATAGCGAGGCTCACCCTTTCGTCCAGGGACATGATGTACATGGAGGCCTTGGCACATACCAGATAGCGGGCATTGTACAAAGAGTCCAGATTTGGGGTAGATGCTAAAGAAGTTAGTCAGGGTGTCATAGCGAGGCACACCTTTTCGTCCAGGGACATGACATACATGGAGGCCTTGGACTTCTTGCGCTTGCGCGCTGCGGCCAGGAACTTGTGGCCGACGTCCAGGAACAGAGAGTAGCGCGGATAGAGGCGCGAACCGCCGTTGCCGCTGCGATGGCGCACGATGAAGCACTGCATCGCTCCTGTCGATGGGCCTGGTTGGCCCAGGAACGCCCTGCACACATCGTTGTAAAAATCACCAGTCAATCTCAAGAACTGTTTTTTTTGTATGGGTGTGTGAGGAGGATGTGATACAAGGGTTGCATTGCGGCGGCTGCAGTGGCACATGTGAACAGCAATTTTAGCCTGTTGCCGGGACCAGCTGGCCCAGATTGGCCAGTCTCCGAGTCGGAAATAGAATATAAAGAGAGTTGCCCTGATATTAGCATGGTCAAGATTGCTGGTAATTATTGTTTCACAGCCTCTGCAAGTTTATATAAACGTCACGACCACGACAGTCCCATGCTCCAGCCATGTGCATGGGATATTCTCCACATGAAAGGGAACGAAAAAAGAAGAGTAGACAAAGGAAAAAAATTCCGGCCTGCCGGATTTGAACCAGCGACCTCGTGATACCAGCAGCTTCCCACTGGGGGCTATCCTCTTACAGTCACATGCTCTACCACCTGAGCTAAGGCCGGGTGATGCCACGTGTCCAATACCAGACTTGGTCACATCGTCAATTTACACAGATCTCCTACGCGGCGCAATTTGCATTGATATCTGAGGTGATCACACTGTCACAGCCTACTGAGCAGAGACCAGCCTTATTGTTGGAGGGCCCAAGCTCCACGATGCTAATCCTGAGAGAGATAAATCCTCAATTCGTAGATACAGAGGCAGTCGCCACTTGCCACTGACATGATGTCAGACATATCAGCGTTGAAGAGCACTGTTGCTTCTGGATGAGAGGTTGAGGGGAGTGTTGCCATAGCGGGACTGAAGGAATATTCCACAAGAAATGTACTCAGATACGGACTTCACTGTATAACAGACGAATCAGCAGACAATGGCGCAGTGGCTGAGGGATAGAGATTGGAGGGGGTATACCATACCAAAGACAGACTGTGGAAAGTTTGCATGTAATGTCAACAGAAGCAGATATTACTGCATGCCAGACATGTCAGCAATGAAGGGCGCAGCTGCTAAGTGGTGGGTTTTGGAAATCGTTTACAAAGACTGTGCAAACATTGTACAGAATGGAGGGATGCCATGAAGGTGTTGCTAGACGTACCTAGTCCATAAGGATTGGGAAACGTGAAGTAATGATGATAATAAAGAAGACTGTGGGGAGTGGACTTTCACCGCATGTCAGACATGTCGGCGTTGAATGGCGAGGCGGCCAGGAGCAGGGCCGGGTCGGGCTTCGGGCAGCGCGGCTTCGAGTCATCCTCCAGCGTTGGGTCGTACACGAGTGCCAGGCCGCGCGCTATCAGGCTCGCCTCCGACGGCTTGCTTGTCTGCGGCTGCAGCCTCTGCCAAAACATGCTTCCTCAGGACACATTCTTTCTGGACGGCTCTCCAGTCACCCAGGAGTGAAGAGCCTACGATAAGCATGGGCCTCTAGAATGCTGCAACCTGTCTGGAACCTACTCCCAAGCATGCAACCGATCTCGAGATTTCGTGGCATTTCTCCAATGAATCACAGTGTCAAGACGGCTGCAGGCCAATACGAGCACACAGCTGTTCTTCTGCAGTGGGCCTCGAGAGTGGCTGCGCATGGCGGTGGCGCCTTTGGTGGTATACAATCAGTTGAAACCCTAAACCCTAATACTTAGGGTATAGGTTTAGGGTTAGGTCTCACAGGGGTGGTCGGGCGAGAGACGTCGGGGCTGGCCGCGGCGCTGCCGCCGCGCACCGCGGCGAGGCCGACCGACGGCCGCGCGCGCGGCGTGCCCGGCCGCGAATCCACCGGCTGTACCGGCTGCCCTGCCATCGCGGCCGCAGCCGCTGCCTGCAGCACGCACATGACCAACACTGATTGGCGAGCAACTGGCACAGCTTCACAGATCTCAACAGTGCAGGATGCACCCACGAAAATCCAAGCGCCGGCGTCCCTCCGGTCATCTTGCTGGTTGCAGCATCTGCCTGCCGCACTCACTCGATCACTCGATTACATGTTTCCCTGCCACCTATGGCTGGTCAGACGTGTGGCCAACAATAAGCGACAGTGGCAAGCGTTTGACACTCAATGGCACTATTTATTGTTTGCATTCGCGGCGGTGCATTGATCTGGCACAGGGCCGGATATCCACCGGCTGCACCGCCTGCCCCGCCATCGCGGCCGCAGCCGCTGCCTACAGAATTTCTGATGGCCACTCACACTCACAGTGTGGCACCTAATTAATTTATTTAGCTATTTTCGTTATTGCTGGTCAGATATGTGACCACAAAGTGAGAGTGGCGAGCAACTGGCATAATGCTCAAATGTTACCACACAAGGGACAAAGATCCGCTGCTGTGTGCAGCTGGCCTTGGACAATAGCTCCAATCGGACTCTTGGATACCCTCCTTCCTCCGACCTGTGTGTCCTGTTTCGAGTACACTGGAGGCTATGTCTGTTCACCTGCAGCCGCTGCATGCGCTTCTGCTGGTTGAGCAGAATCTGGTGCTGCACGCGCTCACGCGGTGTCACCGGCCGTGAGCCGTCTGGTGTTGAAGCGCCAGAGCTGTACGCCGAGATGTCTCCATACTCCGATCTGCGGTCGGCATTGATGGACGACGCCCCCGAACTCCGCCGCAAGAGGGGGTTTGATGGCAGTCGGCTGAGCTGAGCGGACAGCTGACTGGACATCTGACGGGGCGACAGCGCGCCCGACAGCTGGCCGGACGGCCGCCGCGGCAGCCGCAGCGGCGGCAGCGCCGGCCGGGGGACCTGACTGGGGTGCTGACCGGACAACTGACTGGACATTTGATGAGGTGGGAGCTCGCCGGAGTGCTGACTTGACAGCTGACGAGGTGGCAGCTCGCCGGAGAGCTGGGAGGACGGCCGGGGTGGCAGCTGCCGCGCAGCCGCCGCGGCCGACATCGGCCGCGTCTGTGGCGACGCCGGTCGGGTCGGCTGTGTGTTGCTGGCTCGGTTATCGAAGCCATCCTGCCATGTCCTGAGCACACAGTTATTGCCTGTTGGATCACAGTGTGATTACTTGGAGTGCTGCCAACCTGGAGCCGGTGAGGTTGTGTTGACCATCATTTCACAGTCAGAGCAAAATACAGGTGCCACTTTGCGCAAACATGATATTTCTCCCAGTAATAGCGCAAGGCTTGAACTCACTGTGCGGACAATGCAACAATCACTGGTGCCCATAGTTTGCCACACTACAATGCTCTCAGAAAATGTTGGAAAAGGTGGAAATAGTTATGCAGTCACCAACTTGATTACAGCTTCTGCTGCTCCAGATAATGCTTGAAGGGAGTGTACGTGACTGTGCTAGATGGAATAGAGAAGGTACTCACAGTTCAGCCAAGGAGCGGGGGGTCCCAAGCCGGGAGGGCGGCCGCGACGGCAGCTCCGCGCCGGTCCCCCGGGCGCTCAGGGGGACGTAAAGCGAAGAGGCGGACGCGAACGCCGACTTCGGCTCAAAGCGGCGCGGCGGCTCGGCGCGCATGATGTCACCGCTACTTTCAGCGATGTCATCATCGCTCTCATCATCGTAGGTCGCGTTTGTGAACAGGTTGTTGGTGTAAGTTGCTATCTCAGCTGCGGTAGCACACACTTCGAAGGTTGAGAGGCGAAGTTAGCTGTAAGCATAGAGAAAAGAAGTCCACAGACTTCTGTGATCAGGGACCTGGGCTGTGTGCTCACATGTGGAGACACTGATATTAGTTTGCAATGATAGTGACAGCAACAACACCGCATGCGTAAGTATCAAGGAAATGGTCGTATGCGTGAATACCTAAGTTCCATAAGATAGCAAAAATGCACTGGGGACCCAAACCATCTGCTGTAACATGTTGTGCAGCAGTTAGCACACCACAGCTACCCACCTTGGTGATGAGGCATCTGGAAAGGTTGCACGACCCTCTCACTGTCCCTCTGATCGAACACTCTTTGAGGCCAGGTGTGTTGTCCCTGCGAATTCACAAACTTCCTTTCTACTCAGCAAGGTATTGAGACACAGTGTTAACACTATATAGAAAGGACTCTAGTGATACCTGTAACCGTAAGGTCGTGGTAAGATGCCCACTTCTTCGATTTGCTTGCTCCGTTCAAAGCGGCATCTTGAAAGGCATGTGCCTGTTCGGGAGCCGAAAACGCTGCTTTGGGATGAACAAGTCGAGACTAACAAACGAAATGCCCTGCGTCTGGAAACACCTCTAGAGACCAAGGTTCACCAAGAAGGCTATCATTTTCCAGGGGCCGCACTCTGATGTACGTGTGCCAGTTTGTCGCGTCACGCAATCACCGACATTTTTCGGTGCCCAGCTGAAGGGAAATGTTCACTAATTCTGCATTCTAGACACATCTGTTGAAGAAAGGGGCCGGGGAATGCTGAAAATATAATCTTCTCGAAATAGCTGACTTGCGCTCCTTGGAAACCCTCAGAAACCCTCTTTCAAAGGAACTCTAGCGAAGACCTGAATGGAGAGAGTAAGAAAGCAGGGAGCTGCCCTGACGACGGTTCCTAAGCACATCGTGAAAAGAGATGTAGTAAGGAAGCGCTCTAGTCACACAGATCTCCTCGCTGGAAAGGGTGATGTGTCTTGACTGGAAGCATTGATCAAGAGATTTCGGAAATTTTGTGGAGGCTATCAGCATGGACGTGGATCCTGAAAAAATTACTGATGAACGCCGGGCCGCAGAAAGTGCTGCAAGCGCTGGGCCTTCTTCCTTAGCGCAGGCATCTGGCTCAGCTGGAAAGCCCACAGTTGTCCTTGTTATAGGTACAATCAAGCTTTAGCTGCCCCCAGAGCACAACAGTGATTTCTTGTAATGACAATATGTTTATTACACATGTCTTGCTTTTTATCCTTTGGAGTGTTGATCTGCCCAGTGACAGCCTTTCTCAATCAGCAGGCATCCTCGTCTCGCACTCATGCAGTCAACTCTATGCAAATGCACGTCAAGTCTATGCAAATGCACGCAGGTATGGCTGGCTCTGGCAAGACTACTCTGCTGCAGCGCATAACAGCCCATCTTAGCTCAACTGGGGAGCCTGGCTACATCCTGAACCTGGATCCTGCTGTCATGGAAGTGCCCTATGGTGCCAACATCGACATTCGAGACACAGTATGCAGTCTCCCTTTCGTTCCTGCAGCAGTCCTGGTATTTTTGTTACATGGCTGTGAGACACAACCGAGGAGGTGTATTTTGGTCCTAATAATGAACACTCTTCTACGTAGCTGTCATTTGTGAATTGAGCAAATGGATCCTGCAGCGCAAAGCAAGCTGTAATGGGCTGATGAGAGTTGCTTCCACGCAGGTAAATTACAAGAATGTCATGAAGCAGTACAACCTGGGGCCGAATGGGGGCATCCTCACCTCTCTGAACCTGTTTGCCACACAATTCGACCAGGTGTGCCGCCAGATGCAGTGCAATGTTCTATTGCCAATTTGTGAGCGCAGCTCAGAGCCACACACACCCTGTAATTGCCACTCATGGAATGACCACCCCACGCTGTGCATGCTGTGCCCATGTGG